AAATATGTGAGAAAAATAACATACTATATATCGCAATCTCAAACCATGCGATAAAGTTCAATTTGGATCTCATAAATTGTTGCCAAAGTAAATCATAATGTCAGAAGTTGGATTTGTCTTATTCAAAACACAATAGGCACGATTACCCATAGACCGTGTCATGATATCTTGTTACTTTATACTGTTTTCTAAAAGACATTTTGACTATTTACGTGTTCTTTAGTCGTTTGGTTAATTGGCAAATGGACATGATGTGATTTAGTTGGTTGCGGTTGTTTGACTTATTAGTTCTTGGTCTAATTAATAATATCCATTGAATAAATTTGAATATTGATCATGTAAGATATTTATTCTATTATAATTCATATAGTTAATCTAAGTATTGTTCTATGTTGGCTACATAATCACATTGATTATATCACCCGAACTGCAGTTCGGTTTTAACATAACATAATAACAATAATAATATTTTAAAGTGAAACATGGCAGTAATTATGTGTTATTTTGTTTGTGGTGGTATCCGATGTCGTTGTCATATGAAAATATTGTTTAGGTAAGGTAAACATACGAAGTAATGTAAAAATAAATTCAGCCTTGAATAGAATATATCTTCTGTTCTTCTCGTGCTATGACTGAGCTTCTAATAGCCACATAATAGATAATACTGCGCTGATTATGTTAGGTATCGGCAAATATGGATATTATTTGTCCGATGTATTTCAAGAAGAACGGTGCACCCATGATCTCAGAGATTTTCAAATAATCAACTCCAGAAGAAGAAAGTGTGATATTTTTCCAAACAAATAACACACTTACAAGCTGTTGTACAGGCGGCATCTCAGTACTTTAGTGGGAAATGTAGAACTATACTGCGTCACTTCCTGTAAGGACAATGAATATCTGTTAGAATTGGAAGCTTTATTCTAGATATAGTATAATGCATAAAAATTGTATGATATGTGCATTATTGAAACAACGATTCCACCTTCGAACATTTGCCTGCTTAGTTACAGTGACAATAGCCGTACATTTGTACGAAAACCAAGTATGTCTGGTCTAATGTGAAACTACATATTTATGTAACCAGCAAAATACTACATTATATAGGTGCGCAATTCGCATAACCTATCACAGCTGACTAGCATTGAATTGCACGTGAAGAATTGAGCGTACTCGGATAATTCAATGCAAAAGTGTATGTATAAGGAATGCCTCGCTATGTACAATTACCTACCATAGACTCCGGTCAGTCATAACCTAAAGATTTCCCTCTACGTCACGTAACCAAGGTCAAGACGTCAGCGCCATCTTACCTTATGTTCATTCTGTGTGCAATTTTTGCAAAAAAGTTGATCTGCTGCTGATCTGGTGTCCCAACAGGATGGCACACTACCAATGAGCCCAGCAGTGTACCACTTACACGCATGGAGGCTCTCAGTAGATCCTCAAAATGGTAGGTTTATTTGTGTGGGGCTAATGCCCAGGGTGAATAGGGGTTCCACCAATGCAGTCAGTACTGGCCAGCATACATTGATTGGTGTAGTGGAAGAGAGGTTGGCCCATGCCACCCCACTGTTGGTAGCTGCTTTTTTTCGTCTATCTGTTTGACGAGTTACGATTGTTCTATGCAGCAATCGTTGGCTTTAGAACAGTATTGTCACTCGCCATTGAGAACTCTTTGAGGACAAGAATATCCGATTTTCCTAATATTAGGAGACTGTTTACTGCTGTTCATAATCAGATGCCAAGACCCAAATCTAATGAACCACCCAATTGGGATGTGTCAGTTGTGTTGTCAGCTTTATGTGGACCACACTTTGAACCACTGGAATTAGCACCACTGAAATATATAACGTGGTAAACAGTCTTCCTACTAGTTCTCTCCGCTGGTTGGCAACGCTCTGAGTTAGGGGACTTGTTCTTCTCAGACGGCTGTGCTGCCTTTATGGACAATAAAGCTGTGCTAAAGACACAAATCGGGTTTCCCGATAAGAACCAAATCCCAGGACTCGATCCACAGTCGATCGCCATCGCTTGTTCGGCCATTATAGCAGTATGCTTTTACCATGGGCGAGGTAAGACACCGTTTTTCACTGGTCTTAGCTAGGTGGTAGTTATAGGTAAAATTTCGTTCCACAATGGTGCACCCTTTATTTCAAGTACTCCTTTATTTTATTTTCTGTTTTGCTCGGAAACCCACCACCATTCGGCATTTGACTTTATGCCTACAGTTCAAAATAGTAATTTTGACTGACCAAAGTTTATGATGGGTAATTGAACATAGTGAATTTAGGCAGAGGGGTTTCAACCCGCCTATTCAGAGTTCATATCCACCGTATATATATAAGATTCCTCCCAATCACCCCACTTTCCATAGCGATTGGCTTTAAGTCCTCATATATGGAGAAAACTTGGGAGTGAACGTAAGACAAAATGGCGCTGACCTCTTGACCTTGGTCACGTGTTACGTGATGTGGAAGAAAATGTTGTGGTCATGGGGCTTCCCCTGACTTAGATTTCTCTCTCCGTCATTGACTGAATCGCAGCTTAATGCCTATTGTTTAAAATAGCCATTTTGATGATCAGAATCTATGGTGGGTATGAACTAGGTAATAGGGGGTTGAAAACCCTCTGCCTAAATTCAGGTTCTTCAACAAACTAGGCTTTGTACAGAAAAATTACCTCGACCTTGAGGTCAAACTTGTCAAACGTTTCATACCAGTGAGGTAAATGCTGCGTTGTCCTTATGATTCATCATATGATGAGGTGTCTACCTTAAATTGATTAATCTTATACGTATATGTTTGGATACCCCCGCCCAGTAACGCTGCTCTCAGTTTGTTTTTCTTTCTAATTAAACCTATTGTATATTTCACACTAGTCATAGTATTACAATAGATTGTTTCAGCATATTTGATTCAATACCCAATCAAAGTTTTACATTTACCGTTTGTTTCTGATACCTTCACTCAAATAATTCAAACTTTACTGAGTGTACTCTCTTATTTTATTATTTCTATTTCTAAATTTCAGTTTTCTAAATGATGTTAGTGTGTATGCCATATGAAGCAAAGTGACCTACAAGTCATTTATATTCACTATAAACCCAACAACTCAAGAGCAGTTAATGCGATAAGCATCTACAATTGGGTCATGATAATCGTGACTTTATCTCATGTAATTAGGAAATGTAATTTGCATGGTCCGACCAGTTGTTTATTTGGTACAAAGCAAACAGCATGCATTATGCTATTACCCGATTTTAAAAGTATTATGACTTGCATCATGGAGCTCCTTATTCCATAGCTTTAGCTTTGGGGAAATATATAATTTCTGAACGCCCTGCGTTTCGGAAACTATATAGTAGTTGTTCTGAAAACAGACCCTAGATGGCAGACACCACTAATGGGGGTGCCATTTGATGCAGCTAAGTGCGTGGATGGCAATATGCCATTAAAACAATCCAATCAGATTGTTAGATTTAATTTTGTATGTAATTCTAAGGACCCAGTTTTCGGAAAAGTATATACTAAACATAACGACTAAATGTTGTGTTTAAATTGCTGGGAATTATGTTTTAGCTGCACCTCCTCGTCAGTATAATGTTGAATCCAATGACTAATAAGTGCTCTACATAAGTCCAGTAGGCATTGACACGTAATTTTTCAGAATTGTTTGGGTTTTGTTGTACAAGACACCAACAGATCCTGGTCAGGTCAGGGCCGTCGCATGATGTAAACATCACGTGTCAAAAACACGGTCGACCATTCATCCTGCTGTTATGACAACGCTCCATTATCACGTGCACTGACTAGCGTTAAGCCTAATTGAAGTTATAATATTGCACACAGTGCCATTTTGATTTGACTGGATTTGCCAAAGGTGTTTAATTGGAATACCATATCTTCAGAACTTTGTTCAAATTTCAAATATTGTGTTTTGTAAGATTGCACTGATAAAGTAATTATTGTGGTGTGTTTTCTATGATTTTCTAGAATTGTGAACGTCTCACATCATAAACGCAGGAAATCGTGTCAACAGCAGGCACCCTTTCGTTTTAGTGATGCATTTCGTTAATAGTGTCCGCCTTTCACAGATAATTATGTTTATCTTGGTGGGTGGACTCGGGTGCCATGCAGTGACGATCATCTTTCGTGCTAGTTGACTCGTGCTGAACATTTCCTCTGGCCGAT